CGTGCAGAAATACTGCTGCTTTCTCCACCAGAAGGTAGAGCCTCCTACAGAATATCCTTCAGGATATTCTCCAGTTAATACCAATGAAGAGTTTTCACTCTCCAAACATGCTATTGGATACTGTGTGAGATTAAAACTAGAAGCAGATGATTTAGAAAGAGATTCCTAGATGGATGCAGTTCAGACTGTAGCTGAACTTTCTAGACCTGACACAACGGAGATTAGAAAATACACCTAAAGAGAGACTCCTAAAAGGGCTTTTTATGTCTTTAAGACAGCCCTCTACACAGGAGGTTGGGATAACTAAAAGACTTGCAAGAAGAGGGGTAAAAGACCACCACATCATCTCATACAAGGCACTTGGTGGCCATCAAGTGATAATGGCATGTGGTCTGCAGTGACCCAGGCCAGAGCTGGAAATGTGACCTGTCACCTCAGGGTGAAAGGTCTCATATCCTGTCATTGGTGACCTGCACACAGTCTCCTCTCCATGTTCATAGGCTCTGAATTCAGCATGGCTGGACAGACATTGTGTGTATGTCTCTTTCTTGCTGGTCTGGACCCACTCTGGGTGCAAACAGAGGAGAAAAGAGCTCCCTGTTAGCAGAGATCCTCTGTGTGCATTGGCTTTCCCCTCCACAGGATGAGGAGATTCCAGGCACTGATGGGCTGAACCTTTCCTTTCCAACAGCAGTTATGTTGCCATGCTGCTGGTGCTCCCCTCTGCTGCCCTGTGTCCCTGCTGCCCTTCCAGATAATTTGTACAGGCAAAAATGGTTGTGGCCACTGTGTGCACCTGTGCTGGAGCTCCTGCAGGCAGCTGGTGAGCAGTGTGACCACTCAGAGTGCAGGGCTGCTGCCTCAGCCTGGCTGTGCTCAGCTCTGCCAGTGCCAGGCTGAGACCTCCCAAATCCACCGTCTGCCTCGGTGTCTGCCCTCTTCCATCTCCTGTCAGAGAGCTTGTTCTGTGTGGCACCACAGTGGGCCACCAGCTCAGCAATGCCTCTCTCAGGGAAAGTTGCCCTGTGTCATCAAAAGTAGCCACAGGGCTTGGGGCAGGGTTTGCCCAAGTAAAATTTTCCATTGTTGTTCCCTCTGCTTCAATGACAGTTTTCCAGAAAAGCAGCCAGCAGAACTTGTGGTGATATTTTATTATGTTCACAAACCATCAGAAATTACATTTGTTCAGAGCATCACCAGTTTTATTCTTCGCTTCTGTTTTTTAGAAAGGAAAACTGGAGTTTGCCAGAAACAGCACATATGTACACACCAAATGCTCCTGAAAATTGATGTACAGTAATCAGGGTTTTTTTCCTTCGATTTTAAAAATAAATCCACCCTCCAGGGATGAAACACTAGATCAAGCATCAGGGTTAACACCTGAGCTTATTATAATCTTGACTTTTAGACTGACAGAATAATGTTGTTCATATCACAGATAGGCAAAACATCTTCACTGTCTCAACCTAAAGATGCAATTAGTGCATTTTCATAGGGGACACGATCATGTTCACACCCCCTGGCAGAGCAGAACTAATCCTGCTGTGCTGCACGCAGCTGGGGGCCACAGAAGAGGAGGAGCAGGAGCTGTAGAGGTGAGAGCCCACTTCTGCACCATGCACAGGCAGCTGGGCCTCCGTGGGATGTACAGACCCTACAGGGTCTGGAAGGTTTACTTGACCAAATCCCTCGGGTGACTTAGAAGGAACAAAGGGAGACAAAAATAGATTGATAGGCTGTGTCAGGAGAATTGCAAGTGTCAAAAATATCTGTTGCTCAGGGCAGAGGAAGATGGAAGTGACTGGGAGAGGCCAGAGTTCAGGACTGGATTTATAAGGCTCCTTCTGGCACTGATAATATTACATTGTCATATCTGCACGTGTGTTGCCAGAGTCAGGGTGACTCTTCCTTTATCCTCTGCTTTTCTTTTTTCTTAACAAGATTTTTAAAAAGACTTTTTCAAAAGGCATCACATGGAGCATCACTCATCAAGGGCAGCCTGGAGACAAAGAACAGGGCTGCCTGCAGCAGGGAGTGAGGACAGCGTGTGAGCAGGTGTGTCCTGGGAGAGGTGCACACTTCTGGGAGCACAGCACCCTGCAGAGCACCTAGATTCAGTGTCTGTGCTGTGGGAGAGGTTCCACTCACAGTGCTCAAGGGCAGGGGCACAAGAAGGGCATCAGTGCAAATTACTGTCATTATCTTCTGCTATGTAAGATAAAAGAGAGATGGAGAATGTGATAAATTGTTGTGAAGACAGGCTCTGGTGTTTTTCCAAAAAACCCATTTTAGTTGACATCTCTGGGGCCTGACCTCAGCAGACATTAGGGGAAGACCTGGCATTAAGGTAGGACCTGGCCAGAGCAGGCACAGCTGCTCTGCCTGGGCATGACCTGCTGTCAGAGAGCCTGGCAGCCCCACTTTGCCAGCCCTTGCCGTGGGAGCTGGCCAAGCTCTGTGCCTGCTCTGGATCTACTCTCATGTTGGAGCAGATTTTATCCCATGGTGTACATTTGCTCTCTGGCAAGCTGGAAGCTACAATTTATTATTAAAATTGATTGGCTCCAGTGCAGGGAAAACGATCGCAAGGAAACCCTATTACAGTTTTTCATTATCACCATTATTTATTTTTAAGTGCTATTAATATTCCTGAGCCTGGACAAGGCAGGAGATGAGAGGTGGTATCCTGCTCACAACCTGAAGCCTAGCAGTGCAAGGGCTCTTGGAAGAGTTGAGCATGTTGGGAAGTTTTTGCCTTCAATCTGCCTCTGGCAAATGCTAATGGAAGTAGAGCTGAACATATTAGCAAAACAGTAAAATAGGCTTATTTGTATCATAGGCTGGATAGATTTTTTTTTTCCTTACCTCTGTGATGTCACTAGCATTAATTAAGAGTGTTTTGATACAATTGAAGTTGAGGAACAAGGTATGTTGTAACTCTTGGGATACTTTCTATGGAAATTGTTCGGGAATACTACATTTCAGGAAGACAATGTGTTATGCAAGCTAGTTTCACAATAGATGGTTGATTTTTTGTTATTCCCTCCTATTTCAGAGAACTCATGTAGTAGCTTGTGATCGAAGCCCCAGAGGCTCTCATCACTAATTGAGCTGGCTTTGTACCTACTGCTGTGACTGTCATTTGTGATGTGGTGATTCACACTGAAGCATTGCACAGCACTGACTTGGATCACGCTATCTGTGCCGTTAGGACTTTGTGACAAATTATGATCCAGACAGAGTATCTAGGCGGAAGATGGAATTTCTGTAGCCTTTGAAAAAGGAAGGTGTAAAGCAGCATGAGCAGAAATGAAGCACAGCAAATGTTGTCTGCACTGGTTTGTCTTCTTTTCTGCCTGAGCCTGTTGGCAGGGGCAGTCAGAGCTGGAGGCTGAGGCTGTTATAAAGCTGAGTTCCTGCAGCTGTTTACCCAGGAATTGTTGGTTATCAAATGGTCAGACATATATAAAAGACCGAGATCCTGTTTGTGTCCTCATTCTAAATATTTGTCAGTAAATAACAGACTATTCTTGCAAAAGCATTTTTAACCCTTGATTTGCTGATGTTAACCTCCAGTGGGGATACAGATTATTTCAGCAGGCACCAATCCCCACAATGAATTCAGCAGTTTGGCTTCAGCAGGGGATCACGTGCATGAGGAAACCTGGGTTTTAGCCCAGAAGCTCCACGGTGTTTTAGAGGTCAGGATGTAACTTCAAAGCTTTCTTCAAAGGTTTTCAGATAAAAATACCTGTAGGAGACATGAGTTTGGCAGCCCAGTCTATTTGATTGATGTGTGATTGCTTATGAAAGAGTATGTGGCTGGAATATATATTGTTAGTGACCTTTTCCAAAGCCTTTCCTCAGAGGGGATTGAGCCACCAGCGTCTCGGTCCCTGTCTGGGCCGGCAGAAGGAGCTTTTACAGCTCCTGGCTCCTGATCTGTGCAGTTTCTCTTTTGCAAGTACGAAAGGTGGATGACTATTTTTATACCTCCTGTGAGCAACGAAATCCTCATGCCAGGGCTGGCTCTGTAGGAAGGACCTTCACAAAGTAATTTTCTGTTTTCATTCCAATAACCATGGTGTAAGTGGAAATACTGCACAAAATTCTTCCTATCAGTCAGTACTGATCCCCACAGCAGCCAGACTAGACAAACACAGAGAAAAAACATTCATATTACCTTCAGAAACACATCTCTCAATCAGAATTAAAGGACATCGTTAGAGGAAAAAGGGAAACAGACAACTGCAGACAATTTTGCAAATGAGACAGAGGAATCTGTCTTCCCAAGGAAGCCTTTATCCTAGCAAAATGCTAACAAGAAGAGCTGGCAGACAGTCGAAGGCTGACAGAGGGATCTGGGAGTCTCCCTCACATCCCATCAGATCCTGCCTGGAAGGTGATCTGGGAGGCAGATTTCAAATGGCAAGCACCCTTTAATAAGTAGAGCAAAATAACATCCTCAAAGGCAAAGAAGGGATGATAGATGAAATAAGGAGCAATTCTATAAAGAAGATTTACTATACCATTGTTTTTTGTGACAAAACATGTTTTATTTTGTTCAGAATACATCTGACCTGTAAGACTGTAGTAACACCCTGGTTTCTCACAGTTGCTTATTTCTCAGCCAACAAAAAGCTACAGAAATGGATTGAAAGCCACTAATAATGGTAAAAAATATAACCAAGGTTACCTTAGAGTTCACTGAGTTTCCACTCTACCTCCTAGAGATATTAGATAGTTAAATTTTCGGCCCTAATGGGTGGTATCAAAATGTAAACTCTCAGTAACAGCATTTACTGAGTTTTAACAGACAACAAAAGTATTTTATTCCTTATACTTCTAAGAGTTTATAATGAGTTAGAGATTTAAACGTCCCACATCCTCTCCAAATTTGGAAGCTGACATGAACAGTCCTTTTTCCCTAATTTGCCCTGTGCTGTGTTCCCACATACTCCTCTGCCAGCCCTCTCTAACTGTCCTCTCCTTTCTTGCAGCGTGCAAGAGGAAAGAACAAGAACACGGGAAGGATAGAGGGAATACACCCAAAAAGCCTCGGTTGGTCTTCACTGATGTCCAGCGTCGAACTCTACATGCAATATTCAAGGAAAATAAGCGTCCATCCAAAGAATTACAAATCACCATTTCCCAGCAGCTCGGGTTGGAGCTGAGCACCGTCAGCAACTTTTTCATGAATGCACGGAGGAGGAGTCTGGATAAGTGGCAAGACGAGGGCAGCTCCAATTCAGGCAACTCATCTTCTTCATCAAGCACTTGTACCAAAGCATGAAGGAATAACCACGAACTAAAACCTCGGTGGAAAAGCTTTAAAAATAAATAAATAAATAAAGACAGACCAGGACCTCAAAATAGCAGGTTTATACTTAAAACTATTTGAAAAAAATATTTATAAGTCCAAAGAAACCAAAGACTTATTTCACCTGCATTATGACTTTGTTCTAAGACACACACTTTAGTAGGATGACGACTTGCAAAAAACAGAGAGGAAGAAGGAAGCGAAATGGAGGGAAGGAAACGGGAAGCAAAGAGAAGAGGAACAGACCACTGGTCTTACACCTTTGCCCATTATCATCTTCACCGTACTTGGCTGTTTAGTGGTTTGGAGCATCGTGATTTCCTGTCATTGAACAGACATCTTTTGGGATACAGCTCTTCATGTCCACAGCAGTTGCCATGGAGGTGTTTGTGTATCCGTACACGCCAGTGGGTAGGGACTTAGGGCTGGTCTCCAGAGAGGGCTGTGCCAGGGCACGGCCGACAAAGCGTGGAGTCGTCTGAATTCCTTGGAATGGTAGTGTGATTTTTGCTGTTTCACAGTTTGAACTTGAGTGGTGCAATGCCTTGAAACAAGTTCAAACTAGGCAAAGAAATTTTGAATGGTACCTAAACCAGTGCATTCTCTTTGTTTGTTAAGGAATGTTCAGATTTAAAAAAGGAAAACTATTCCATCCATAAAAAAAATCGACTAGCTACCAAAGAACACATTTAATAATTATATTGCAGGTATTTTATTGCAATGATTTTAATATTCCAAAGCTATTTTTACACAAATACTATGTAGAATTATAGGTATAAACTAATCTAACTGTATAACACATAAAACTTGTAATCAAGACTGTTATTTGCAATTAGTAAAACCACATTATCGTTTCTTTCTATGATTGGCAAGAAAGAATGTCACCCGAGGAGATCACAGCCCCTTGGCAGAGCACGGGAACTGAGAATGGGGCCCTGCTTCCATTGAACTCAGTGACTTTCCTCACTGACTTCAAGGGGAGCACAAGGACCCGCGTGTTAGAGCCGCGTGTGGCACTGTGTGTGTGACACGGTGTGTGACACTGTGTGTGTGACACGGTGTGTGACACGGTGCATGTGTCGCTGTGCTCCAGAGTGGCTCAGCTCTGCCATCTAGCCTGCGAACAGGAGACCTGAGGCACTCGGGATGCAAAAATGAAACGAATTGGGGGATGCAGAACCACAGGGCTCAGCGTCTGATCAATACTCATTGACATCAGTGAGCTTTTCTTTTACCGATCGACTTTACCAGGCGAAGGAACAGTAACAGCTTTGAAGGCTCGTGGTCCTTTCCTGTTGAGAACAGTGGTAGAACATCAGTGAGAGTTGTGGGAGGAGCTCCACGAGAAGCTCCAGTCGTGCTTTGGGAAGGAGGAATTGTGATCCCTCGGAAGTCAAGAGCAAAATCCCCATGACACCGAGATACAGCCCGATGTTTTGTGGCTTTGTATCTGTGTGTAGCAGGCTGAGCTTTTGTCCCACACATTCTTTCTTGCTCGTCTATTAGTCAGGATAATGCATGAAATAGTTTCAAGTTCGTAGCTGAAAAGCTTTAAGCGCTTTGTTGCTAACAGACCCATAGGAGAGAAATCATCCCATTCCTACTCTGGTAAAATTAAAGAGAAAAGCGTGCAACATCTGCATATTAAATTTTAATGTAAGGGGAAAATAGACTTTAAAAAACATACGTGTGCCTGTTAGATTTCTAACTGGTATTTCAAATTATTGTAGTAATTATGCTAGGTATATTAATTCCAGAATAACCAAATATGCAGGTATAGGCCCAATGCAAGGATTAGAAACAAATAATCTTACTTCCAACCTTTTTGTTTTTAAGGAAAAAAAAGATAAAGGAAAATTCAAGGTAAACTAGAATCCAAGCACTATAAACAGTAGCAGGTACTGGTTTGGGGGATGAAACCCACTCAAAATAACAGTGACACCAAAGTAGAGCAGCTTTTGTAGCACCACTTATTTCCCAAGAGGATAGGGTCTAGTCAAGGTTCAGGGTATACAGTTTATTTCCACCCCGTGTTTAGAATACAGGTAAAAGATCTCTTTATTAAAATAAAGTGAAATAAACCAAATATTTTTGGCACTGAATATTTCTCCGTATTTCAGTATGTTAAACCCACTTTAAGACTGACAAAGCAATTACCTTTGAAAATGGAGTCTAATCTGGATGTTTTTTGAGTCTCTAGCTTACCTTAAATTTTAGCAAGCTTTCTTTTGAAGTGTTCCATCCCCACAGAGACATAATTGACATGGAAACATTGATAAGCTCACATATAAAGTACCTTATGAATGCAGTCTCATTAGTGTAAGGTTAATAAAGGACAGTGATAACTAACGGTTTATTTTTTTCCAGCAAAATACTGCTTTGTAACGTACCTATAGTTTAGAGAATAAAGCCTTATTTATTTAAAACTTGAGAATTTAAAAATGCAGGGAAATTCAAAGTACATTGCCGCATTTTTAGTATTTCCATTGTATTGTCTTTATAGACTACTTGCTGAAACCAAAGAGAACTTTCATACCAGCATTAAATTTGCACCCAATATGCAATTTCAGGATCTCTGATACACACATGCAAGCCCCTAAATAGGACTGTGTATATGTACATGCACACACATTTTTATGGGGTGTATGTATGTATACATGTGCACACACATGTCCACACACACTAAAACTGATGCACAAGTTATAGATTTTAAGTGTTTTGGGTTTTTTACATGTCTGTTTAAGTAGATATTAACCTTCTGGTTTTCTCTAAGCCATTAGGAACAAACCACTCTTCCCATAAGCAATATGCGCCTCATACTCTGAATAGGCAAAGAACACACTTTTCTTTAATTTCCTTCAAAACATGAAGCAAATAACTCTGGAACTGCTCAGTCTACCTGGAAAGCTGTGTTACCTCTGAGCAGACTGCCCGGCCACACCGACTGAAGCATGGACAGGTCACCTGGTGCTCCCTTGCTCTGACTGGTGCCATTACTCACCAGGGCATCCTTGAAGGGGAGTTTCTTCTAATGCTGCATTTAACATTACCCAGGAAACCTGTCTGTGTCTGTTAGTGATAGTCTTTCAGTTCATTTCATTCCTGACAAAATGAAAATTAGTTTCAAATTTGACAAGAGGATCTAAAACTCTGCCAGGAAGGATTAGGAGAGGGAGCAGAACCCAAAGCAGTTTGGGAGCATCAGGAGATGGGGCTTCAGTCAAAGGTGACTCCAAGGGCAAGAGGGCATTAGGAACATGCATTCAGCTAACAGGCTGCATCCAAACATGACCGCAGTGACCCACAGGGGGAGGCTGGCCAAGAGGTGAACTGTCTGCATCCATCCCCATTGTAAATGGCATCATTAGATTTCTAGGAAAAAAAGAACAAAACAAACAAAAAAAAAAAATATCCTCCTTCAGACTGCCCCACAGCGCTCCCTTAGCCCTGCGTGGCTTTCCGGGGCCGCAGCCTCCTCTCCTTACTCAGGTAAAGCAAACCCCACCAGAGCCAGCCAGCCACGGCATTTCTGCTTGGGAAGTTGCTCCTGCACACCCCATGCCAGGAGCAAATCCCCAAGCAGCCGAGTGGCCGGGGTGGCCTGGCATGAGAGCAGCCCCAGGGCTGCCCTGGGCACCGCTCCTCTCCTGGGATTCCAGGAAAAGGCTGCGGTGGTGGTGGGCGCTGCCCCAGGGGCTGCTGCTGCCCGGAGGGCTCGGAAACACTGCTGAGCTTATACCAAAGAGTCTTAGGACACCTCTCCTCACCTGAGTTGTAAACAAGACATTTTTACCCCAAAAAGCGTTCCTTCTTTCTACTACTCTTCCTCCTATCCTCCTCCTCTTCCTCCTCCTTTGTACATAGGGATGAAAACTATGCATTTAGCAAACAAAGAGAAAGCACTTACCCTTTTCTATCTCACTGCGTTTGGGTGCATTCAAAGGCCCAGGGGCTAATTTTGAGACTTTGCTTAGCCTCCTGGTTTATTATTGTGGTGTGGTTAGCTTTACAATACATTTGGTAACTATTTGCTAAAGACAAAGAAGCAAAAGGTAAGGAATAGCTACTTCCACGTGTTAAAAAAAAAAAAAAAGAAAAAAAAGAAAAAAAAAGTGTGTAAAGATCTACTATTTATAGTGTGAACCAAAGACGCTACCTCACTCGATTTCCATTGGTGATTTTAATCACATTGATGATACCAAAGAATACCAAAGATTTTTCATGCACGGCCTTGGTCTGGAAAGGGAACTCATCCTCCTTCTTACCCCCATCCCCGAGCCCCTTCCTCACCTTCACTCAGTGTGTAACCTTGTCTTCATTCTTAGTGGTAATGCTAATAACCTTACAAATACTACTCTTGCTACAACTGCTACTACTGACGATGATAAGGAAAATAATAATAATAATAATAATAAAGCTCTTGGCTAACATGTTGCAAACTTTGTAAACTCATAGGACGAGTGCCTTGCTTGAACCAAAGTGTTAAACCGCTGTTGACCTCTTTATCTCTCACCTTATACTCTTTGAATACCTCAGCCTGTTAGAAAGGCCACTAATGAAAAAAAGGAATAATTCTTCACCGTGGTGCTTTTTGCCGTGCAACCATGCAATGAAACTTTCTTTGATACCAAAGGAAAATGTTTTTTTCCACTTTCTTGCTGACAAACCAAAGGTTCCCTCCTCTTTCCCCCAAAGCAGCTTGAGTCCCTCAGCCCAGACAGGCCGTGCATCGCTTTTACCAATTCCTCCAAATACCTCATAGTAATAAATCTTTAGGGTTATGTTGTATAGAGAGTCTATGTGATAAGGCAGAACTTAATAGTTTGATAATTGTTAAGGTTACTTAAAAAGAAGCTTTATAATTCTTATTTATTTTGTAGGGGTTGTTTTGTTTGTATATTCCTTTTATATTGTTTGGTTTGGGTTTCTTCTTTTTTTCCTTTTTTTTGGCAGAACTTCTCTGTTATACTCAAGGAAGATCTTATTCCTGGGAATGTTTCAAAGTGGGTAAAGATCGCTGTTTGCAATGAATGCAAGAAAGGGAAACATGGCTTCAATTACTTTTGTTTCAACTAGGATGCTTTGTGTTTGCTAGTCGATGTTCTTTTCACAGGGTAAAAAAAAAATATTCTCTGCTGTGATAAATGGTTCCTATTTTTTCTCTATAATGTGCTGTGACTTTTAATTTAATTACATTTTGTATACGCTTATTTAATCACTGCTTTAATTTATGACTATGTAGTTTTAAAAAAAATTGTATATAGTAGATTCAAAAATGGCCAAAGCTTTATGTTACAATCTTTTCATTCTTGATGCTGAGATGAACTGAAGGAGAGTGCTTCTCTTGACTGCAGGGTGTATCTTCAGCCTTCTCTTGGCATGCACTTCCACCCGTGTTACAAACACTGCCAGGTTACCCCCCAGGCCTCCCTTCCCCCAACTTGTACATGCCAAAATGAGTGTTTCAAGGTAGTACTTTTGTCACTTAGAAAGCAGAAAGGCATTATTAGTGTGTTTTTCCTTTAATTTATTTGTCTTTTTCTAGAAAGATTGATTTGTGGGTGAGACCCGCACATCCAAAGAATTTAAAAGTCGTTTAATGTTTAAAAGCACTGGCATTTGTGAGAGATTTTGCTGAGTTTTTATTTTCCTTCGCCATTCGCACGGGTAGCGCAAGCGAGTAGCGGGCGCGGGCCTTGGGAGAAAAGCGGACTTGAATCTGGAAACCTTGCTCAAGGAAAAGCCTTTGTGGCGGGACAGCGCGGGCTCGGAGAGCTCGGGGCCACCCCTGGGCCACCTCAGGCCA